TAGAAAAAGATAGAAGACTAATCCAATCGTCTTGGCCTGCAGATTAGGTGACATTACAAGCTTCAAATATTAACTGATCTACAACAAACAAATGTCATGGAGTAAAACATTTAACACATTAATTAATTAATTAATTAAAGGTTGAGCATTATGTGATGGAATGCATGTCGCAAATTTTATACTGACATCATTTTATGTTTAGAAATGATGGCCATTTTGGCCAAATATTAAAATATATTTATTTGGAATTGTGTGCTCTGATCATGTGTTGTGAATGACTTTGCACTTTTACCACCAAATTTTAGCTAAATATTTGTAAAATTGACCCAGTTATAGCCATTTTAGTGTTTTATCACAATGACTTTCCATGGTGGCCATCTTAAACTAGACTGATTCCAAAGACAATCAGTTGTAGATGTCTCTCTAATGATTATTTCCTGAAGGTTTTATTAAAATATATTCAGAGGTTCATGAGATATTTTGCTAACAGACAAAGGTACCTCCAAATATTTAATCAATCAATCAATCAATTCAACTTTATTGTCCATAACATTCAATGAAATGGAGATTTGTCTTTGACATCTGGCTTATAAAAACAAAATAAAAATGTGATTAAAAAACTTAAAAAACTTTTAAACCAAACTTTGCTAAATCAGTTACAAACATTCAGTCAAAACCATTCTAAAATACACGATAGATTAAAATATGGAAACATTCCAGCAGACAGTAGTTTGTTATGTGAGGCTGCGTTTAAATAGGACCTTGTTAAGTACATTCACTGCAGAGGGAACAAATGGAAGTAATTTAACTAAAAATCTAAAGCAATTTATTAGAGCTATAAAAAGTTCTTGGGGATCAGCCACAGCGATTATCAAACTTAATTTTAGGTCAACATCAGAAACATTAAATTGAGTTATAGCCATTTTTGTGTTTATTAAACTCAGTTGGCTGTGTTGGCTTTCTTGAATTGGGTCTTCTTCAAACATTAATCAGTTATATCTGTGCATTCATTAATTACTTTCTGCAAGTTTCATTACAATTTATCCAGTGGTTCACGAGTTATTTTGCTAACAGCTAGACGCACAAACCCACTAGGGCAAAAACATAATCCTCCCACTTGGCCTTTTAGCAGTAAGTGATAATTAAATCAAGCTTTCAACATTGATAAAAGTCGAACCTTTCTAATCGAACTGCCCACAACTCAATCAAAAACTGCTCGTTTTGTGGCGATTTCCGTTCTACACAACATGAACGACAACTCAGATGTTAGCCGAACTACGGCAGAGTTTGAACTGACCTTTACCTTGCAGTGACACAAGTGCACTATGACTGACAGTGTCACGCAGGATAATTTACCCCCACCGCCCACCCTGGATTGCCCTCCATATACTCTGTGATGCAGTTGACCCCTTTTACAAATCACCACCAACTTTACACATCTGCTGCCTGTCAGCATCTGCCAGGCGCACTCACCCGTCCCGCCTGTAATGAAAAACTCTCATTACTCGCCTCCACCCAACAGGTACGCAGGCCGTTAGGACAATTACTGGGCAGCGCCGCTGACCTTGTTGTCAGAGAGAGAGTCAAACAAACTCAGAGGTCTGACTGAGAGAAGGCCACGGCTGCAGGTGTGCAGAACGCTGCTAAAACACTAAAGCTATGAGTCGAATGAAGACGTGTTGATCTAACGTGACTCAGATCTTTAGCAACTGTTTGTGAGGGAAGATGAAGTAAAGGAGAGAAATTGCATTTCCTGTGACAATGCAGTGTGGATGTTAATTACAGAAGAACTTGCTAAAAAACAGCTAAAATTAGTTAAAAACATGCTAAAATGTAGCTGAAGTAGAAGATCAAGCCTAAGTTAGTAGAAGAAAGCAGAAAGAACCCATATATGCTGAACTAGGTTTAAATAAGCAGAAATTAGCATGAAATTTTAGGAAATTAAAAAAAAAAAACAAGACTAAAATGAACAAAAAAGTAGCTAAAAAGTTTAACTGAAAAAGCATGAAGAAGCTTGAACTACCAGAAGGAAGCAAAAAGAGCTGAAATGAGCCCCAAAAATGTGGAATTAGCTGAAAAAGGTTAAATTAGCATAAAACAGCAAAATATTTAGCTGAACTAGCATAAAAAGCTGAAAGTAGCAGAAATAACTTAAAAGGAGCATAACAAGCTTAAATTAGCAGAGTAAAGTTCATTAGGTTGAAAGTAGCACAAATTAACATGAAAATCTTTAATTTTTCTGAAAATAACTGAAATTGGATAAAAATGCTAAAAAGGTAGCTCAAAGGGTTAAGAAGTTTAAATGAGCATAAGAAAGCAGAAAGAACTCATGTTTGCCCAATTAGGCTGAAAAAAGCAAAAGTGAGCAAAAAGGAAATTATCTGAAAAAACCCCAACATTTTTCAGTCAGGTCATCTGGACAGTTTCTTTTTTTGTGGTGAAACGTTTCGCCTTCGATCCGGAAGGCTTCATCAGTCAAGGAAACACACAACAAAACTGATTCTTCTCCCACCAGCTTACTCCAAAGTGGAACAAACCAGTTCTGCTTGTGATAAGATGGTCTCTTTGGTATATGCTTCCTCCTCCATTGCCGGCCCTCTTCCTTGTTGACAGTCTTGTCAAACTGGTTGAAAACAACAAAGTCCATGCTCAATAATCCAGGTAAATAATCCACAATTTTTCAGTCAGGTTGTGTGATTCCTTGACTGTTGAAACCTTCCAGACTGAAGGCGAAACGTTTCAGCACAAAAAAAATCTAATGTCCAGATGACCTGACTAAAAAATGTTGGATTGTATACCTGGATTATAGAGCATGGACTTTGTTGTTTTCAACCAGTTTGACAAGACTTTCAACAAGGAAGAGGGCCGGCAATGGAGGAGGGGGCGTACCAAAGAGACCATCTAATCACAAGCAGAACTGGTTTGTTCCACTTTGGAGTAAGCTGGTGGGGGAAGAATCAGTTTGAATTGAATTGATTTGTTGAAATAGCACAAAATTGTGGAAAGAGAAAGATGCTGAAAAAAATGTACAGAAGAGAAATGGATGTCAGTAGTTTGAATTCTTCATAAACATTCACACTATTTGTGGGTTGTTGCAGAACTCAGTACTTAGACAAAATAAAAACCAGCGCAGTTGGAATAAAAGACAAAATAAAATCCATTTATTCAGATCTATAAATCATGAACTGTAAACACATCTTCTTAAATAAGCGCATAATAACATTCCTTTTAGGAATATGTATTTCCTGCCGCTTTTCATGAGTTTGAAACTAAAATAGTCTTATGATGATAAATGACAGTTGCAGCCATTTTGGTTAAACTTAGTTGTGCACAGTTTTGTGTGATATTGTAAGATCTTGTGGTGGTGCATATCTGTAAAATTACTCAAACTGGAGCTGTTTATGTGTTGGCTAAGGCCTAATTTGGTTTGAGGAGAATGAAGTCAGAATAAAAAAAAATATTCTCAATGAGCAATAACTGGTGATTATCAGTTCAAAACTTATCATACACCTAAAATGTCTAGAATAACTTTCATCCAACTTGAAAAAGAACAAAATAAATAAATAAAATAAAATCAACTTATCAGGCAGGTTTGGTTGAAAGAGATGTGTTGAAGCAATTCTTGAGTAAAAATGTTTGGTTTTAGACATCGAATGGAAACATCTAATTCCTTGCCCTTCTTCTCTAAATACAATATTTTTTGTGGTGATCTGTAATGTAACATTTGTGCATTATGAAATCATCCATTGCATTTTACTGTTGTATTATATTTGTATTGTGTAAGATTATGAAAGGGCTTTTGTGATGGATGGGGTATGTTTTATTCAGCCATAATTTTCATCTCATTGGCCAAAATCTGTTACAGTTCAGGACTCTCGAAGCAGCAGCTCTTCCCTAATGAGATTGAGATTAAATATGCTGGTGAAGATTCTCAGTCATCCAGGTCACGATCGGTTAAAAAAAGGTTAAAAACAAAACAACTGGACTTTAATTCTAAAGCTGAAGGTGTTTTGCTTCCCATCTGGGAAGATTTAAAGCCTTAAGACTCCAGGGCGGTAAGCAAAATGTCCAGCTTACAAACAGAAAAATTTTTGTTTTTTTAAACCCTGTTTTGGATGAAATATAAGATATGCACATGGCTTTTCTGAATTAGTTACATACGTTTGACCATAAAACAAAATATTGTTCAAATTTAAGATTAAATCCTTGAAGAAAAGTCACCAAGATCACAAGGAAATGCTCCTTTTTTGTCATTTCTGCTGCTAAATCTAGCTCTGAAGTTGCCATCGGTAACAAAAGGGGCCGTTCTGGCTTGAAGCATGCAATTAACTCCTGCAATGGATGGCAGACACTTGCTGTTTCATTGTTGGACTCCTGGTTTACAGTTGCGTTGGGGAGACAGTGGTGGAGTTTAGGGAGAACAACGAGCACAAAAGTCTGTGAGGAATTCTGCCATTAGACAAATTATCTGATGTTTAGCAGCCTCCCTGTGAAGCCATGACTTTATTGACCCCTGAAGGGGGAGGTCAAAGATGGAAGTGTGTCTCTTCGGATCCCTGCTGTGCTCATCAGCAAACCCTCCTCTCTGAAGTTTAGCTGTGATTTGAGCTGAAACCAGCTGCTGCTCCTGCTCACACTAGTCCTACCTGAGGGTCCTCTTTGTCCTCGGGGCTCGCCCTTTTGTCTCGACGACCATCACAAACAGATGTCCTGTCACTGGGCCTTCTCGTAGGAAGTCGTAAACCTCCAGCATGCAGTGGGCTCTATTCATATGGAGCGCCTATACAATAATGGCTGCACAAGTGTAATACACATGCAAATGCTGACATGCAGACACCCTGTAGTGGCGGCGACAACGAATGTTTGACTAACGTAACTACGGAGCACGCTGGTCCAAAAGGCTACGACTGGAGAGCAATGAAAGCCCCATGAAGCAGCGTAATCAGCTTGAATTGTGTAAGACAGGAAACCATGTAGGAGGCCTTTAACAATCCGTAAACATGATTAGATCCTTCATGTCGCCCCAACAGGACAGAGAAATTCCTTCTCTGCCTCCTGTCTCATCAGACAATGCAGACCTCACAGTTTGAGCATTCGCTGAACAAAACCACAAATTCTATTATCAAATCTTGCAGATGGCAATAAATAACAAAACTCCTTTAAAATAAGACTCACAGTCTTTGGGTGTTGTTGCAGTTGCCAGTTTGCTTCTCCGTGTTCAGAACGTCTGTTTGTAGCTGTCAGGTTTTATCTGTATTGGACACCTGCTGGAGAAATCGATCCCGAGCCAGTTTCACCATCTCACTCATAGCCAGGCATGAAGCTTTAAACAGCTCATGTCACTCTTTATTGAGCGCTTATTTAAGAAAATGTGGGGGCTAATTGATTGTAAATACAAATCAATCATATTTGCTTAGAAAACAATCAGCTATTCTCACTTTTGGCTCATCTGTTGAATAAAGGGAACATGGCGCCTTTAGGTTTGAACATACAATACAACAAAAACAAACTATTGTCGTATAATTTTTTTGGTCATTGAACTGAAATTCTTAGAGCAGAATACAAAAAAAATTTAATCTAAATGTTACAAAGTAAAAAAGAAAAACAACGTTTGTAAAGTATTCATGATATTTTGCTGTGACTCGATTAACAGAACATGATTAGCATGCTGTTTTTAATTGTCCCTTTAGGAAAATATTTATTATTGCCTGCCATATCCTAAATATGCATATATGTACTGACATCTTTCCTAAAGCTAATCATTTGGGTTGCAAAAAAAAATGACTTTATAATAATCTTCTACAGTGCAGACTGGCCAGCTTCTTAAAAAGTTTTATTTTCTTACACAAGACAGCAAAGAACCATAACATAAAAGTGAAAAAAATATATATTTTATTGTAATAAATTTGAAATTAACATTTAAAGTGTCGAGAAAACAGCATGATGTTCAAAATACTTTAACATTTTTATTAAATTACTTTGTAGATGATCTTTTATGTTTTGCTTCTTGTTTGTTGCTATTGTTCAATTGCAAAGTGTTGCTCACATTTGAACGAGCATTTCTTTAAAATAAACTTGTTTTCTTCTGTTGCTGAACGGACTCACAATTCACCATCCAGACAGTAAAGCGTCCACTTTGCAAAGACAGGATGATCTCTGATGAATAAAGTGCCATCTGTGCTTAATTTTGCTTAATTTACCTTCAAGTCGTCAATTATTGGATTTAATGTCATGGGTGATCATCGTTGAACGATTAGGTGGTCGCGTGAAGCGCTAATAGTGTTTGTGTCACGTGTCTGGTGGGGAGAAGGGGGGTAGAGATGCTTTAAAAACCGCGTTCCGGTCACTTCATTCATGCTGCGAGACTGTCTGACAGAAGCAGAGGAGCAGGGAGGTGTGTAGTCCACACTTCGAGGAACATTTGACCCGGTTTGCAGACGAGAAGCAGAACCAAAACCTCTCCGCGCGCGTAATTACGCACACGGTCCTCTTCCACCGCCTTTACGCATCTCAACAGGATGATGGAACCCACGGAGTGACAATGATGTCCACTCACAAGATTTCCTTCTCCATAATTGACATCTTGGATCCGAACAAATTCAACAGCAAAAGGACAAACGAGCTCTCCTTCGCCAAGGAGACGTTTCCTGCGCCGAACGCGGAGGGAACAAGTTTGGAGTGGGACAGCACAGCGGGCGGAGACTTGAAGGATGAGCACACAGACGCAGGTAGACACCCCTCCCCCTCCCCCGCACACACACACACAAACACACACACAAACACACACCTCTACAAATATATTTTTAATATTTACCACTCAGTTTAGGTGTGTGCGCGCGTAAAATCGGCCTTGAATTGATCTTAGTTGTATGAAATCTCCAAA